CTCTCTCTCTCTCTCTCTCCCCTTCTACCGTGATTAATTAATTCAATCAACTCGTGTGCCTGTCTTTCTGTTTTTGTGTACACACGGCAAGGCACGCACGAATCATGACACTGGAGCAAAAGCAGCAGCAGGGGCACCACTGTCCTCTGGTCAACGGCGACGGCGCCGGTCACTGCACTGGTGACCACTGCTGTGGTTGCTGTCACCACCACCACCACCACCACCACCATCACCAGCATCGACGACCATCATCAACAGCACTGGTCACCACCTGTGGTCACCACCATGAGGCAGTCGAGTAAGTAGTGTGATGTGTGGCATCTTCATCAGCTGAATTTAGGTTCGAACAGTTTAAAAGAAGGGCAGGTAATAATATTACCACTGTGCATAGATCACTTCACTGTCAGCAGCACTCCTGCACTGTGATCTACTTTGCAATCTCTCTCTTCTTTCACAAGTGCATTCCCCTGCACATACACACATTTGTCAACCTTCTGGTTGTTTCTGTTTATGTGTGTGTGTGTGTGTGTGTGTGTTTGTGTTTGCGCTCCAATTAATTGGCCCATTGAATGAGGTAGACAGCAGCAGCAGTAGAGACAATACCCCGTAATAGTCAGTGACTGTGCACCAGCAACGCAACTGTCAGGCGGCGGCGGCTGATAAGCGGCCGTCGTTTTCCTTTCCATTTTTTGCTGCTGCTTTTCGTTTCATTTAATTTTCATTTCGGCGTTTCGGCCTTTCGCTCCTCAATCATTGCCCCTTTTCTCCCCTCCTTCTCTTATCACCCAACTGTTTGCTGTCATTTTTTTCGCCTGCTGTACAGAAGCTGTTGGAAGAGAAGTAGACCAGAGCAGAGCACTGTGTGAGAGAGTTAAGGGCAGGGCAATTAGCCGGCAACTTTTATAACGATTGTCACCAGAGGGGACAACCCCACTAGTTTTTTGTCCTTTCTGAAGACCATGATGATGATGATGATGATGATGATGATGATGATGAGCACTCGCTGCTGCCACTCCTCGCGACAAATGACCCAGTCAACTGTCTCTAAAGCTTAAAGATTTTTTCTTTTTTTATCGATTGTTTTTAGCCGGATAATCTCCTCTTTTCTTTTCTCCCAATACGGATCGGCCAATTAGCAGCAGCAGCAGCAGTCACAGCTTTCTTTTGATGTGATAATTGATTTGTCTCTTTCTTTCTCTCTTTCTGTTGTCAGCCAGTCAGGCGGTTTATCTGTGTCGCCGTACTTCTTCTTCTTTTTCTTCATTTCAGTTTAATGCCGCTGGGGTCGTATCCAGTCCTCGGTCAGTACACTGCTGCCACTGCTGGAAAAAGTGGGTGACAATCTTGCCACTGGGTGTCAATTAGCGAATGCAAAGCAGCTGACTGTACGGCAGCAGTAGTAGTAGTAGGGCAGGTCACTTGTTTGTTTTTCGTCCTGCGTATATTTCTTCTTTTTTCCCTTTTGCACTGTGTTTGCTCAGTCAGTCGGTGACATTGCCGTCGGTGTGGTGGTGGGGCTGGTCGGTTTGAGGGCAGGCAGGCACATTGGCACTGGTTTCATTCAGTGCACTTTGTTTTGCTATCGACGTGCTCAAGTGCTGAGACTGCTGAGACTGCTGCTGCTGCTGATAAGCTCTGGCAGGCGCTCACTTAGCGAGCGAGTGATAGGCCGCCAGCTCTCTTGGAAGACACTACGCTCTGCATAGATTATCACCAGTCAGTCAGTCAGGCAGGCCAGTTTTGCCTCGTCTTCGAAGCGCCGAGAAGTGCCAGGCGCCTGTCACTGCAGCAGCAGCACAACACAGCACAGCTCGGCGAGCAAAATCTACTCGAATCGATTAGCATTGACCCACAACTGGAGCTTGGAGTTTCAATCTTCCAGCTTTGTTTTTTCCTTTTTGTCTTTTCTGTTGTTGCTATTGCGGATCTTTTACCACCACCTGTTCGACACAACTCATCACCATCTGATCACCATCACCACCACTACCACTACTATCACCCCCTCACCACCAGATTTCTCAGCATGTCAAGCAGCGGCAGCAGCAACGGCACCGGCGCTGGTCACCCAAATATCGGCGGGAAATGCAGCACTGCCAAGTCACGAATCGCCCGTCTCATCACCAGGTATAGAACGTATAGAACTGACTGGCTGGTCAGTGGCGGTTGCCTAGCTGCTGGTTTCGGGTGTGTACGAGCGTTCAAAACTGTGCAAAGGCTTCCGGGAATGAGGAAGAGACAGCTGCAAAGGAGCAGTGCCACTGCGAAGACCTCGCACATTCTTCCAAAGTTGCACTACTTCTTCTACTTCTTCCTCTGCAGCAATGCTCAGCACTGCCACTACCTTGTCACCCTCTCTTCTAGCCACCACTGTTTCTGTTGTGCCAACCTGTCCACCACCGTCAACAGCGGGTCGCTGTACAGGTGCACAAAGTTTAGCACTGGGAGAAACAGTGCAAAGAGAGTGCACTGTAGTGGTGGTGGTGGCAGTGGCAGTTGTGGCAGTTGTAATGTGTGTGATTCTGCACTGCTGCCATGGTTTAGCGGGAATACCACCACCAACCGGCTACTGAATCGATAGCAGCAGACATGCTTGCAGTTGTCAGTTGTTGTCAGTTGCCAGTCAGTGGTGTTAGTTCTAAACACTGCTTGTCGTTTTGCATTCAGCGGCAGTCAGTTAGTAGTGGTAGAGTGGTTTTCTATTAACTGGAAACACACTGAATTCCTCTTCTATTGACTTTTCTTCTTCTCAAACCTTACCTTTACTAAAACCAACCATGAGCTTACAGTGAGTTGTCTTTCTCCCGTTCTACTGCTACCTTTCTCTCTGTTGTTGTTTCCGAATGCAAGTGGTTTTTTAAGTGCTCAAAAGAAGTTTTTTCTTTTATTGTCAAATGAAAGAAGATGTGCGCAGAACACTGCCTTGTCTCTGCTGTATGAGCATGTATCAACCGCCGCCGTTTTTATACATGGTGGACAGCAGCATTGAATAAGAAGTTACATCGTTGCTGTCATCAGTCAAGGCACCTTCTTCTCCTCCTTCTTCTTCTCCTTTCAATGCCCTCCAATGTTCGCTCAATGCACTGGCTGGCACTTTTGATTTGATTGGCGCTTACCTTTCTGTCTATGCTTTCTCACTAATGCTCTTTTCTATTCTTTTCTTTCCCCTTTTTTCATTGTTTGCTCATCTCTAATTCTTCTTTTCTTTTTCTTTACAGGCGAACCCGGTCGCTCAATGCACCCAGTCCCATCTGCCAGTTCGGACCATGTGGAAGCATCAGTAAGAACACTGCCATGGTGATGTAAGTAAAGACTGCTGCTTTTGCTTCTTCCTCTTCTTCCTTTACCTGATGATCACCACTAGCATTGACCGTCACCACTGTAACTGCCGTAGTCGTGACAGTGGTGACAGTTGTTTGTATCTGCATATGATTGCCAGTACTGGAATGCTGCAAGCACAATTTCCAATTAGTGCTCCAGTCGATTCTCATGCTGCAGTGCTAGTGAATGTGTGTGTTTGTGTGTGCATGTCCGCCGGCGACAGTGCGGCCACTGATGCCTGTGCAAACGCAAATGACTGGATGATATTGAAGCAGTGTGACAGGCGGCGGCGGCGGCAAGGAAGCAGCAAGCAGTAGATGTAGAAGATAGAAAGATGCTGCCGCTGCTACCTCGGCATTGTACAGGTTATCAGCAAGCGCAGCAACAACTGCAGTTTCATGATCATTGCTGACTTCTTCTTCTTTTCAATTTTTAATGACCGTACCTGTCATCTTTTTTTCCCAGTAACAATAGAGCGCTGAGGCGCTGATGCTAAGGTGAATTCAGTACACTTGAAATGGTCTGCTGTACGTAAGAGCGCTTTGCGACGTTGTACAGCACTCGAACTTGAAACCATGTTGATCTGTTGCTGCACTAGTGTGATTTGTCTTCTGTTGAAGGATTATTTAAGTGAACTGAAGCAAGCAAGAACATTGAAACATTTGAACACTGGATCACTGGATGATTTCTTTGCATGTGTTGTGTAGAAAATTAGTAATTAGTAATTAGGAAGTGGAGAAAAGAGAAGGAGGATGCAGAATATTTAGCATAGTCATAAACAGGTGGTGGTGGTGAGCACTTCACCGAGGATGATTAGCTTTAGTCTCTTTCTTCTTTTCATTTTCTTGCCCACCCCACCACCATCATCATTACCATCACTCAATCTCATCATGGAGTGAGGTTGTTATAAAACCATGCCTCCACGTAACCTTATATCATTTTGGTGGTTGAGTGAGTTGAAGTGATTGCTGCTTTTGCTTTCTGACAGTCGATTAAGTGACTGTTGCAGCTGTTGCATTGTCTGTCTGTCTTCTTTACTGTATTATGAAGTTGTACTCAGACGTCCCAGACTTGCTTCAACTGTAAGCTCCAGAGGAGTGAGAAATGAAAAATGGACCCAAAATTTTGCTTTTGTTGTTTTCAACCTTTTTTCACCTTTTTGTTCTCCCCTGCAGGACCATCCAAGACCCCGCCAGCCAGCGTCTCACCTGGAACAAGTTGCCCAGCAGTGTTCTTGTGATCAAGAAGATCCATGACTCGCTCATCATTCAGCCCTTTCTCGACCTGGTGCAGTGGCTCATCTGGGTAAGAATGACTTTTTTTTGCAAAAATGTTGTCTCAAAACTAAACCGACCATTTTATTTTTCTTCCAAACATCAGGACAAGGAGATGACGGTGTACGTGGAGGCGAGCGTCCTCGAGGACGTCCACCTGAAGACGCACCCGCTCTTTGTGCCCATCAAGGACAAGTTTCGCACCTTTCGCGACGGCAAGGACGACCTCACTGACAAGATTGACTTTATCGTCTGTCTAGGCGGCGACGGCACCCTCCTCTACGCCTCATCGCTCTTTCAGGTACTGCCACTGACAGAGATCCGTTTTTTATTGATTCCAGCTAACTTTCAACCATCTTCCCCCTCCCCCTCTCAGGAGAGCGTCCCCCCGGTGATGGCCTTCCACATGGGCTCACTGGGCTTTCTGACGCCCTTTGAGTTTGACAACTTTCAGCAGCAGATTGCCAACGTGCTGAAGGGCAACGCCGCACTGACGCTGCGCAGTCGACTGCGCTGTACGGTGCTGCGGCAGGACAAGGGCGGCGACTCGATGATGATGCTCACCGTCAACGGAAATGGAGTGGCAAATGGAGGGGCTGCTGCTGCCGGAAATGGCGGAACCGGAAATGCTGACAACAAGTCCACCGTCCACCTGGTGCTCAATGAGATGGTGGTGGACCGCGGGCCCTCCCCCTACCTCTCCAACGTCGACCTGTACATTGACGGGAAGCACATCACGACGGTGCAGGGCGACGGGCTGATCGTCTCGACGCCGACGGGCAGCACCGCCTACGCCGTGGCCGCCGGCGCCAGCATGATCCACCCCAGCGTGCCCGCCATCATGATCACGCCCATCTGTCCGCACTCCCTTTCCTTCCGGCCCATTGTCGTGCCCGCCGGCGTTCAGCTCAAGATTTGCGTCTCCCCTGACTCGCGCAACTCCGCCTGGGTCTCCTTTGACGGGCGCAATCGCCAGGAGATTCAAGTTGGTGACAGGTAGATGGGACAATTAGATGAGAAATGTTTTTTTTTCATGATAATAACCTCCTCCTTTTTCACCTCCCCCTTTAGTGTCCGCGTGACCACCTCCATCTTTCCGGTGCCGTCGATCTGCGCGGAGGACCAGATTGGCGACTGGTTCGACTCGCTGGCGGAGTGCCTCCACTGGAACGTCCGCCAGAAGCAGAAGCAGTTTGACGAGTACTCCGATCTGATTCACAGCTCCAGCAGTGATTCACTCGACAAGTGAGCAGACTGGAGTTGTGGAAGGTTGTGCATTGGTTGTGGTGGTGGTCGTCCAAGAAGGAGGGAACAACTATTTTATTACATTATGCTCTCACTTCCGTTTCATTCATTCCGCCCAGAACAAAAAACTATTTTCCTTCCTTTCTACGCCCTGATCACCAGCCCACACACACCCCCTCCCCTCACTAACACTGAGCACAAATACTTAATATAATAATATGTATCCCCTTTTCCCTACACTAAAAAGAGTGATGAACTTTTTATATGAAAAATGAAATAAAACCTTTATGATGATATTAAACAAAAGAATATATGAGGAGCACCGACAAGTTCACACACAGCAATTCCGTATTCTTTTCGTTCTTTTCCGCTAATGCGGTCATTGGCCAGGCTGAAGCGACGTTGGTGGTGGTGGTCCAAACCAGACACTGCTGAATGTGAGGCAATACCAAAACAAAGAAATTTGCAACGGCCGCCGCCGTCGTGGTCTTCGTTGTTGTCGTCTCTCTCTTTCTCTTTCTCTGAAGCCAAATGTTGTTACACTGTCGCCGTCGTTGCTGTGTCTGCGCGTCTGTGTTAGCTAGTTTGTTCCCTCTGTTGCCAGTGTCTGCTGAGGCGCCTCACTTCTGCTACCGCTGTATATAGCAGATTGATGGTAGTGAAGTTGGAGTTCCCTCTCTTCTTTTCCTCTGGTGATTGCAGAGCAGAGTAATACCACCGCCGCCACCACCACCACCGGAGCGGCAACACAACACAGCTTGCCAGGAGCAAAGGCATATCAGTAGGAAGAAGAGCAAGAGCATGTGGCTGGAGTCGCCATTTAGACGCAGTTCTTCTTCTACTTCGCTTTCGCCTTCCACCCAGACACAACACCGAACACACAACACATATTGCCACCTCTGAGTTTCCCTTCCTTCTTCTTCTCCGCCTGTTCTTGCTCTCTATCTCTGGAGAGTGATTTCACCATCATCATCACCACCACCACCACTACAACCACGACCACGACGACGACGACGATCACCGCAACCAAGAGCAGCAGCAGCATTGCCAGCAAGCACACACACACACACACTTCTCCCGAATCGATCTCGTTAGCATCACCAACACCACTACCATCACGCACTCACTTGGCCTCCAGAGTTTGATCACGCTGGTAAGTAGTGGCGGTGGTGATGGTCGTAGTCGTAGTTGCTGATTTGTGCAGCTCTTATCGGTGGAGAGGATTTCCAACGTGCTCTCCGTATATCTTCAAGTTGCAACCACGCCGATAGCTAATCTGGGTTCTATTTTACGCTGCTTCCGCAGATGCCACCACCGCCGACTTTTCTCTCTGTCCCGTCACCAACCTGGTGCTGCTGCTGCCTTGCTCCACTTCTCTTCTGCCTCATTCTGCTCGTCCACGATGTACAAAAGGTGAAAGTGTAGGTGTTCCGCCATTCCGCAACAACAACAACTCTCTTCTCGAAGGTTCAACTTGTGTTCCACCAGCACATCCTCGCTTGGACGGACCAAAACAACAACAACAACACGCACATCTTACTTTCTCTCACCCACCACCTGCCTTCTTTACCAACGGTAATTTACCACCACCACCACCATCACCAACATCTCCTCGACGACGAAAGAGAGGGCGACACTGCCTGGTCACAGACAGACAGACAGCCAGACGCACACCACCGATATTTCAACTCGGCGCGGCGCCGAAGCCTCATTTCGAAACGCTGAAAACGCGAAGAGAAGAGAGAGAGAGAGATCCGTAACTCGTTTGGCGGCCAGTTTTTCCGTTTCTCTCTCCAGAGCTATCCAGCTATCTGCACCAGCTGTTTTGGCGCCGTGTGGGCAACCAAAACAGCCTCCAGCTACCGCCACCACCACCACCACCACCCTACGCCACCAGTCAACAACAACAGCAACAGTGCTCACCAACAGCTCACCGACGCCATCGCCACCGACGACAACAACAAACGGCGACAGTGCAAAAAGTGTTGCGCTTTACTTCTTTTGCTGTAAAAAGGTACGCATTTGGTGCACAGGACTACTGATTGCACAGGCTCAGGCTCGGCGTTTTAAACGTGAAAGCGGTGTCACTGGGAATTTCATTTGCTGGAAGTCGTCGTCGTCGTGCATGAACTGCATCAGCATTCTTCATCTACAAGCGGTGATTTAGTCCAGGGCGGCTGCTGCTGCTGTCCGTAACCGAATAGGTAGAGTTAGATATTTCCATTTCATCATCGTTTCCACCTGTGAAACTCCAGCACCACCAACACCTCTGCACCGTCGTTCGTCGATAAGATGTGACCACAGGCCGCAGACAAAGGCAAACACGACGCAATTTTTGTTCCGATTGGACTGCCTCCGAGGTTGCTGTCATCTGCAACGACGACGACGACGACGACCACAACCACGACAACAGCAGCTCAAGTGTAACGCACAATAGAGGAGGGAGATCACACTAGAGATCACTAGTGCAATCCGCATCGACATTTGCTCTTCTTTTTATCTCTCTCATTCACTCACTGACTAAATCATCAGCGCTGCTCGATCATTGCTCATCCTCACTGCTCTCGTCCACACACGCACTTTGCATAATAACCACTTCACCAACTTCCCTCGACGCTAACGAATAACATTCCATTTTTTGTTTTTGTTTCTCGGTCTGCGCCGCTCTTTTCAAACCAACAGCACCAGTGCTTGTTCAGCTGCTGTCAGACGCCTGCCTTCACTTGCTGTCAAAGCTGCTAAAGTTGAAGGTAAAGTTGTATGATTGAGTGAATGTTCGGAGTAGGCAAACTAACCACCACCATCGTGTTTGTTCTCTAGACCCCTTTGGCCCCCGTTTGGCCCCAACCAAGAAGACCACCTTTTTGCACCTACACAACTCCAGCACGCACACCGAGCTGCCCTGTCTGGTTCCGTCCGTCCGTCCGCTGTCATCCCCATCATCCCCATTCCAGTGCATGATCCTGACAGTCCTGTGGACGCAGGGCCCTTCCATCTAGCTACCTGAATGAGTGTTTTAGAAACAGATGATTACCAAAGCGAACGGGAACTTCTCCAACCAAAATCGTATAATACATTCGACTATAGCCGAAATACCGCCAAAAAAGGTATGTGCCACGTTACTCTGTTTGTTACAGTGTGTTGCTATTAATAGTGCTGATGGTGGAGCAATGCGAACTTGCTGCTGCTAGGTAATGGGACTGTGTGCACTGCTTTCACTCATATTTGCAGACATTCTCACTTTCTTGACTCAAAGTGAGCTTTGTGCCCTTTCTCTTTCCAT